CGAAATGCTTTCTGTATTATTAATGTTAATCGATGGATGTTTTTCAGAAGACAAAGTTGTTTAATTTTTGAAATTTTAAAACAGCACAAAAAAATCTACATTTTAAAATATTCTTCTGTACATATTTTAAAATGTCAGTCATTTCTTATGTGTGCGTGAGTTATTAAAAATATACGCAATTTCCATTTATCTAGTATATTTCAATCGCAAACTTTGAGAAATGTGGCATTTATTTGTATTCTAAAGATTTAAAATGTAGTTAATATTTGTTGAAATTATTCAATATCAAATTTTTTTTTATTTTTTTAATTTTCAACTTTTTAACTTTTTATTATCAAAACTTTTGTGAATAATCCTTAAAATACATAAAATTATCCAGGATTAATTTAAACTTTTATTACATAATACTGTATAAATATAATTAAATTAGATTGTAAACTGATATAGATATAGTTAGATTTTATTAGTTAATTTTGATATCTGTTTACTTCGCAGGAAGCATTCTTTGTTAGTTTATAGGTTTAGTATCAATTTATATAAGTTAAAAATTATACAAGTCACAAGTGGAATCAAAAATCAAAAAATTGCTATTAATTAAAACTATTATGTGACAAATTTATGTATTTAGACGACAATATAAAATTTTTTAACGTCCGTTAGGGCAATGTTGATGGATAAATTGAAAATTTTCGAAAATAATTGATTTACAGCAAAACGGAAACTACACCGAGAGGAAGTGCAGTATCGTGTTCGTAAACAACGTGGAATCGTAAAATATTCGACGTGTCAATGTTTCGTTTTACGATTTATTGGAAACGCGCGGATAGATCTGACGTATAACAATTCCCTAGGAAGTCTTAAAATTATTTTACGACGCTAAAATAAAATCTAAATCTGTGTATTACGATAGAATTACGATAAATGTGAAAGACAATGACAATGGATTGGGAAACATCAAACCGTATTTTGGACACACGGCGCTATTCGAGATTCGCTGTCAGAATCTAAATCAAAGATTACCCCTCGAGCGCAATCGCCAATCCCATAGTCAATTTTCATTTTCGTCTAAGGAGGAAATATTTCGTATTTAAAAGAGAGGAAAAAAAAGAGAGAATGAGAAATTAGGATCATTGTCGGAGGCTGCGGATCCTATCGACGGAGGAAAACGACAGGTTCGTCCTCGACTTTGATCTTACCTCACCGAGACGAGGGAATTTTCGGGGAGGGGAGGAGGGGGAGGTCGAGCAGCGTCGCGAGATACTGAGGAGAGATACGCGGGAGAGATGCGTGTACTTACCGAGTGTCGCGCCGAAGACGACTAACGAGCGACGGCGTCGCCGTAAATGTTGCAGCTCAGCGAGACACCGCGACACTGACCGCGCGGCTCCTCGTTCCACGGCAGGACTCCCACGACGAAGATTCGCCACAGGGTCAGAAGTAGCTCGAAACTGGTATCCGTCAGACCCATGCCCGATTAGCGCGTCGTCGTTGTCGTCGTCGTCGTCGTCGTCGTCGTCGTCGCCGTTGCTACTTGCCTCTCTTCCCGCCGCCCCTCACCGAACGTCCCCGTCCGTTCCGCGCCGAATTCTCGAATGGAAAATTCCCTTTCCGGATCGCGCGTCGCTTTCCGAGGAATGGACGCGCGCGCGAAGAGATCCGAACGACGATTCGCGCGCGGAAACACTCGCGAGAATTTTCAAAAGCGATCGACGCGAGGAGAGCGAGATCGCGAAAGAGATCGCGCGATCGGAGGCGGAGGATTACGAGAAGGAGTTTCGAGACGCGTTCTCCAAACGCGCGACGTGCATCCCCGATAGCGAGTTACTTCCGGCGGAAGAACGCGTTGCTGTGCCGTTTCGGAAAATTCGCGCGGGTTCTTTCCGCGGATCTCCGCCCACCGAGATCGATCGGATCGACGGCAGGTCGAGAACTGAAGAAAGGAAAGACGAAAAGAGACGTGGAGTATAGAACGGGGATGTGATAGTATTTCGTCGACACAAACAGGGGGGAACTTCGTCGCAAAGGATCGAAAGAGCGAGTGGCGAATTTTAGCGCCTGTCGGCGCGTATATATGCGCCGCGGTCACGTGGTGCGGCCGCTGCGACCAATCGTTGCGCGCGCACGCACCGTCCGGATGGGAACTGGATAGGAAATTCTGCGCGCATCGATATTCAAGAAACTTATCTTTTTCAGAAGAAAGGTCATTGACAAACATGTTGTTTTTATGGATTTATATATTTTGATAAAACGAAAATAATTTTGTATGTAAAGATATTATAATATATGTGAAAAAAAATTTTTGTACCTACAACTTGTACTTATTTCTTTCAAAAAAGTAACGATCTCAAAAAATTGTTTCGATTAGAAATGAAAAATCAAATATCAATATACGCTTTGCGTATACATGATTTTGAAGTTAAAATAACACTTTTATAAATAATAAAAATCTTCTCTCTGAATAAGAATCAATAAAATAAATTTTATTAATAGAAAACAAGATGCATTTTATAGATGAAGAATAGGTGAAGATTATTGATAAAGAAAAAGAAGGT